TAACTTACAAATCATAATCTTTTAATATCCCATGATGCACATTATCCTGTTGCTGATGACTCCCGGATGGACCACCATGATCCAACACACCAAAAACTGAGCATATTCCAACTGTCCATTGGCTCATAACTTGTAAAATTCATATCTGGCTGGTACCCCCTTTGGAATATATGAGTGTTAGTACAAATATAATACATAAAACAAATATAGAATGAAAAGGAAAATTGAAATGTACCACTCGGCAACACCCATAGTACGGAGGATACGGTGGCACTCCTCAAGAAAACCCTGGGCATCCTCTGACGCCAAGCCACTGAAAGTAGGAGGGTGGTACTTCTTGTACCTCTTGAGCCTGAGATGCTCCACCTCAGAAGCTGCTGCCCTAACCTCAGGCTGGACTGGAGCTAACGGCTGCATCGGTATGATCTCTGGAACCTGGTCAACATGAACCCGTTGCTCTGGGGTACTGGCGACGGGAGTCTGTGCTCCTTCCCCGGCCTGAGATATGGCAGGAATAAGTGATATCAATCCTGCCTGAGCCAAGATACCGAATATGCTCAGGAACTGGGCTAGAGTCTCCTGGAGAGATGGTGTAGTGACAGTCATCTCAGGTGCTTGTCCTCCAATTGGAGCTACTGGTGGCTCCTCTGTAGTAGTTTGTGTAGGTGCTCTGGCTGCACCATGTGGACGTCCTCGGCCTCTACCCCGGCCTCTCGTAGCTCTAGCAGGGGGCGCAAGTGTCTGATCATCCGATCCAGCTATACGTGTCCACACCATCTATGAGAGAATAGAAAGATAGAAGTTTAGAGTCCGAAGTCAAAATCTCACACGATAAGGAATCAAAGAAAGTTAAACTTTTACTAACACTTCCATAGCCTCCCGAAGATAAGTACAAACATCTCTGTACCAATCCGCGAGACTCTACTAAACCTGCTTATGACTCATAACACCTATGAACTTAGAGCTCTGATACCAATTTGTCACGACCCCATTTCACCCTCCGTAGGATGTCGTAATGGCACCTAGTCTCTCAAACTTGGTAAGCCTAACAAATTTGCGGAAATACAAAATATAAAATTGAAGCCCAATTCTCAACACATGAAATAATTATAAAACTGCCATTCAATAATTACAACTCCCAAAACCCGGTGGAAACAAGTCACAAGCTTCTAAGAGCAAATACTAGGTCTCTCTATACATCAGAGTCTAAAGAAAATAAGGAAAAATAACATAGTAAGGATAGAGGGGGACTCTGAGGTTTGCTGACGCTGGCAGATGTACCTTGAAGTCTTCACGTGTGGTCCAACTCACCGGTATCTGGTCTGGTGGGAAGAACCTGGATCTGCACAAAAAGATATGTAGAAGTGTAGTATGAGTACACCACAACGGTACCCAATAAGTGCCAAGCCTAACCTCAGTAGAGTAGTGACGGGGTCAGATCAGGACCCTACTGGTTTAAAAGAAAAATAAGGCAGAAGATGTAATAATATTTTGAAATAGCTGAGAATTTAAACAATAAGAAGTTTCAGAAAATATCAGCACGGTAAATAGAAGTAAACAACAGGGGCACTCCCGTGGTACCGCCTCGTAGTCCCAAATATAAATATGCATGGCAGGGAGATCTCCTGAGGTACCGCCTCGTAGTCCCAAAGTAAATATGCAAGACATGGGGATCTCCAGAGTAAATGCCTCGTAGTCCCAAAGTAAATATGCAGTACAGGGGGATCTCCTGAGTAAACACCTCATAGTCCCAAAGTAAATATGCAATACATGAGGATCTCCCAAGGAACCGCCTTGTAGTCACAAAGTAAATATGCAATACAAGGGAATATCCCGAGGAACTACCTGGTAGTCCCAAAGTAAATATGCAGCAGGTAATCGAAGGAAACACGAATTTTCAGCAAGAATCTTACAGTTAAAGATTTAATTCAAATCAAGAAAAATAGGTAATTCAACTAAGCATGTTGCACAAATTATAAGTAAGAGTTAAGGCACGTAGACATGCGAAACTAGGCTAAACATGATCACTACATATGCTAAGGCAACTCAGTTAATGTATTTTAAAAGAAGACAACTCAGTTAAGGAAATTCAAAAGATGGCAAATCAGCAAGAACCGAATTTTCCATAATCAGCCCGTGTACGCACTCACCTCGCGTACACGGCGCTCACATATCACAAATTATTACAACAGTACCAAATCCTAAGAGAATTTCCCCCACACAAGGTTAGACAAGTCACTTATCTCAAATCTCGCTCAATCAATTGGTAAGAATGCCTTTTCCTCCATTTTCCAACTTCGAATGGCCCAAATCTAGCCCAAAGCAATTACATATTGTGAATAAAACTACAAGAAACTAATTTAAATCATAAGTCTATGACTTTAGCAAAGAATCAAAATATCGCCCCAAAAGTCGACCGGGACCCACGTCTCAGAATCGGGTAAAAGTCACAAAATACGAACACCCATTCGATAGTGAGTTCACCCATGCCAAAATTACAAAACTCCTACACCAAGTCGCCACTCAAAACCTCAAATAAAACTCTTCAAACCCCTAGCCTCAAACTCCCAAATTCCACCTTGAATACACCCTAACTAGGTGGGAAAATCAATGGGAAAACAAGATTATTGAATAAAAATGTTCACAAGTGGCTTACCTCAAGAAATCCCTCGAAAGTGCTCTAAATAATTGCCCTAGACCGAGTTCAAAATGTCCAAAATGAAGAATGAAATAAACCCTCAGAATTGCCCCTTTTCTGCCCAGCGAAATCGCCTATGCGAGTCCACAGCCACATTTGCGTCTCCGCACCTGTGAAATTTCCATCGCAAGTGCGGTTCTAACTTAGCCCAGGCACGTCCACTTCTGCGGAACCAAACGCGCATTTGCGCTTCCACTTCTGCGCACCCACTCCTGCGGACCAAGTCCGCTTCTGCGACCAACATGCCTCCCATGCCTTTTCGCTTCTGCGTTGATTCCTCTGCAGAAGCGACTCCGCTCCTATAGTCTTCACGTCGCATCTGCGACCACTGGCCAAGTACCCCAGCCGTGGTGCCTGCGGAATTTCCATCGCAAGTGCGGTTCTAACTTAGACCAGGCATGTCCGCTTTTGCAGACCCAAACGCGCATTTGCGCTTCCGCTTCTGCGGCCAAGGAGCGCTTCTGCGCACCCGCTCCTGCGGACCAAGTCCGCTTCTGCGACCAACATGCCTCCCATGCCTTTCCGCTTCTGCGTTCATTCCTCTGTAGAAGCGACTTTGCTCATGTGGTCTTCACGTTGCATCTGCGACCACTGGCCAAGTACCCCAGCCCTACATCTGCGCCCAAGTGCTCGCTTCTGTGGGCTCGCACCTGCGGTCAATCTTGAGCAAGTGCGATTACACCATAATTAGTGCCTTCAGCCAGTCCCTCAAGTCCAAATTTGATCCGTTAACCTTTCGGAATCTACCCGAGGCCCCCGGGACCTCAACCAAACTTACCAACAAGTCCTAAAACATCATATGGACTTAGTCGAGCCATTAAATCACATCAAACAACGCTAAAAATATGAATTGCACATCGATTCAAGCCTAATGAACTTAAAATGTTTCAAATTTCTACATCCGACGCCGAAACATATCAAATCAAGTTCAATTAACCTCAAATATTGCACACAAGTCATAATTGATATTCCGGACCTACTTCAACTTCCGGAATCAGAATCGGATCCCGATATCAAAAAATCTACTTCCGGTCAAACTCTTCAAAAATCATCCCATTTCTAACTTTCGCCAATTGACGCTAAAATGACCTACGGACCTCCAATTCGACATCCGAACATGCTCTTAAGACCAAAATCACCCTACGGAGCTATTGGAACCGTCATAACTCCATTCCGGAGTCATCTTCACACAGTTCGAACTACGGTCAAATCCTACAACTTAAACTCCCCTTTTAAGGACTATGTATCTCATTTCACTCCGCAACCAAAGACAAATCCTCCCGGCAAGTTACAAAACCCAAAAATGAAATAAAGGAAGAAATAAATAGGGGTTCGGGGCTAATTCTCTCAAAACAACCGTCCGAGTCGTTACATAATAGTATTTATTAGTCATAATTTTAAATTATGTTTGTTTTCATTATGGCTTATTAATAATATTTATTTTATGCGATTTTATTATCTTTATTGTTGAATATTTTAGTACAATGCCATGGCTCATCTTATATTTATGTTATTTTATTGAAAAATACATTATATAGTTCTGTCTTACAAGGATTAAAGAAATATTTGGAGCACAAATTTTACGTTTTGTGCTATGAAGACTTTATGAAAAAAAAAACTCGAAAACCCAAGATTAAAAAACCCGACTTTTATTGGTTTGTTTTGGTATTTAGATTTAATAACCCTATACAATTGGTTTGGTTTGATAATTAGAAAATTCGAACCAACCCGACCCATGTACACCCCTAGTGGAATGTATGAGTCAAATTACTTTCTTCTTCACTAAGTCTTTGTGGCCACTTGATTTGAAAATAGCAGTTGTATCGTTGGGGAGAGGGTACAGAAGGGCCTTTTTTACCCTCTGTCTGACATATATCTTGGCTTAATATATGTAATATGGCCATTAATTTGGCTTCTTCTCAAGTGGGGACTAAATTTTTATAATATTTGTCATGACATAATATCCACTATAACAAAATTTGTGGTTCATGACATTTGCCATGACATAATATCCACTATAACAAAATTTGTGGATCATGACATTTGTCATGACATAATATCCACTATTAGGCCAAGAATTTCTTGCTATAAATAGAGGAGCTTCTCCTCATTTGTAAACACACCAATTCAAGAGCTTTTCACTCTTGTCTTTCTTTTTCCTCCTTTATTTCATTATAGAGTATTTTGTAAGAGAATGAATGTTGGAAAATACTTGTGTGAACCCTTTCTTTGGAGTGATCTTGTGAGGTTATTCTCTTGGGGTATTTGGGACTAATTAGAGTATTTACTCTAATTTTGTACTCTTATTGGTATAGTGAAATTGCTCATCTCCATTTGTGGACGTAGGTCACCTTGACAGAACCACGTTAAATTTGTGTCTTTTTTATCTTTTTTAATTGATGTTATTATCAACTTGCATTGTCTTTGTTATTGTTATTATAACATTGTTTGGCTAAATTCCGCACTACCCAATTTACCGATCCTAACAATATAATTAGTGGCTCTATGTTGCCAAGGCAAATATTTTTCTATATAATGGTAGGGTGGTAGGGTATCTGTAGCAACTAATATCTCTGAGAATATGATTAATTGCTAAAAGTTACAATCCATCTTTTAACCATGTATATGCTACATGGACCAGTAGTGACTATGAAGATAAAATCAGTCAACTTGCTTCCTTTGTTTCATCTGTTTGTAATATCACAAATATGCAAAAGTACCATATTCATAGATAGCTTAGTTTTGGAGAAAATTTCAAGAAAATCTCATTAATAGAGAAGGTTTAAAACAGTTAAACATTTGTGCTTGTTTACTCTTTATTAATGGCATCTCCTTTTTATTCCTCATAACGGGATTTTAGATGGGCTTTATATTGTTCTTTTAGGTATTGCGTGTTCTAAAATGAGTTCTTTTATTTTATTACTCCAACTTTGTTGATTATTTAGTTTTCTGAACTTGACCATCCTTCAAGAATGGATAATATTGAGGAGAAGGGGGAGTCTTCCAAGATAAACATGTAAAATTACTAACTATACATTGTTGTTCCACTTCAGATTATCACAGGATTGTAGAATATGGACAAAGACAATATGACTTCTACTATTACTTTTGCGGATAAGGTTGGTCTTATTCATGGCTTCTGTATCTTTGACAAGGATAATTCAAATATTGTGGAGTTTCTCTATTCAAAGAAAAAAAGGTTTCATGGCTGCATGTTCTTATCAACATTTATTGTGCATAACATTTAGAGTAATTGAAAATCTAAAGCACTCTAATCAAGGATTAACTAGGACTTGTAATTGTTACGGTTTACCGTCATGGTAGTGGATATCTTAGTTTATTCTATATACTCATTTCATTGCATGCACTAAAAGCTAACTCTTTGATCTGCTTATAGGGGGAGCAAACCCATGTAGATATAGCTTGTGATTCTGAGCTGGTTAAGCTTGCCTTAGGCTTGACTAACCTTCCGGTAAATAATTTCTGTCAAAATTTGTTTGGTCTTTCCTTTAGCTTTGCATTATGCAGAATACCTTGGATGGACTCTTAACTTTAACATAAATAACTAATCTACTGTTTCAACCTTTGTTTTGTGAAATTGTTCTTAGGCAACATTAAAATGATAATATTACTTCTCACGTCCAAATTTTGTGCAGGTTAAAATTGAAAACTATGACTCATTCTATGAGATGACATAGACCTTCTCTCCTGGCAGGTATTCACCTTCAACTATTACAGGATTTCGCGAAAAGTAGTTCTTTGCTCAGGAATTAGTATTTTGAAACATGTTATAATGGCTAGCCTGATTCCATTCATTTTTTTGGTTTCTAACTAAATAGACGGAAACCAGCTCTATCATAATGTATTTTGATTCTCAATCTTTGTCGATGGCATCATCTCTTACTCTGCTGATAATGCTTTCCAGATTCTGAATCTTACAAAGGAGACAGAGAGGATACTTCCACCCTGTAGCTTTCATTTTGTTTAACAATGCAGTGGCAGCATTCTCTTATATTTCAATTATTTGTAATGTACCCCTTTGTATTTTGTATGAGCAGAATTGGTGTTTTGCATAATAAATTTTGAGTACCTTGCAAGAGTTAGTATTAATTTAGTTTGATGAATTTCTGATGTTTGCTATTATGGGTTATTTGTAATGGAATAATGCTACAATCGACTATTTTTTTTAAAAAAAATGAGATCATATTATGAGGGTTACAAGCCCCCAAATATATATATATATTTTAAAAACCGTCACAAATTTAAAATTCAATTTGTGGGGTTGTCGTGGGGGTTTCAAAAAACTGCCACAATATTGTTCGAGGCAATCGTAACTGTGGCATTTTTAAAAACCGCCACAAATTATCAAAATAACCCCATAAAATGAGCATTTTCTTGTAGTAATCGGAACTAAGATCTTCTCCTTATTTAAATTCTTTGGTTAATTGCTCAACATCACTGTCAAAATGACTAATCTTTTTCAGTTCTGATTAATACATTGGCAAAGGTACTTAGCTGCGTAGAGTCGGAGACAGGTTCAATGCAATAGTGTGTATATATATATATATATATATA